TAAAAATGCCAACAAAAGTTTGTTAATTTACTCCTTCCTTGTTTCTGTCCACGTAGATTAATGTGAGCGTTGTGCACTGTTAGGCCTGGTCCTCAAGTACCCCTATCCAGCATGTTTTACTTGTTTCCCTGCTCTTCAGCAGGTCTTCAGAAGATTGTTAATCACTCATTCATTCAAACCAGGTGTGTCAAATCAGGGAAACATCTAAACATGCAGGAAAGGAATTCTTGAGGACCAGGGCTGAGAATCACTGCTTTAACACAGGTTATCTGATTATTATTTACAAATAAAGGGCGATGAATCAATGGTTTCGAGAAGCATTACTAAAAAACATAAAGCTAAGTCAAAATTATTTTTTGAAAATGTCTCATCAAGCTCAGAGAAGCTCTTGAGGTGTTGGTCAACATTTAAAGCAGTGAATTTTTAGATGTTTCCCTGATTTGACACACCTGGTTTGAATGAATGAGTGATTAACAATCTTCTGAAGACCTGCTGAATAGCAGGGAAACAAGTAAAACTTGCTGGATAGGGATACTTGAGGACCAGGATTGGACAGCCCTTAAATGCATATATGTATATATAACTGCTCATTTTAAATCAATATTTTTACTTTTAATACTTAAGTACAAAAAAATCAGATACAGTAAGACTTTTACTCAAATATAGTAGTGGGCACAGTACCCCTAAAGCACTAAAGCACTAATAGGGGAACTAATTTCCTGATTAGTGCTTTAGGGCTTTTGCTAATTTTAAAAATTATTAGTGGATTAGCACTTGCTAAATGTATAGGCTAAATTTAGAAGCACTAAATGAGACATATAAACGTTATTGATAACATTAATGTTAACAGCTGAGGTTGAAAGCTGTCACATTTTGTTAATATGTTTGTCTTTTATCCACCAGGTGACAATATATTGACAATATACAGTATGAACTCAAATACAGCTGTGGAATGTCAATGATAAGTCTGAAGAGAGCAACATGGCAACATGTGACAGTCTGTTGAAGAATGTTCATGGATTGACTGGGCTATTTTTGTGCTTTAGAATAAGGTTTTGTTAAAACTTTCAGTGCATTAAATTTGCGTTATTGTTTTTGGGCTAGTGGAACTCATTTTTAGATTAGTGCTACCTACCGCTTAAGTAATATTCCTAAATGAGACTTTAACTTTTACCGAAGTAATTTTATGGTAAGATACTTTTACTTTTACTCAAGTATCTCTTTGTGGTACAACCTCTGGCAAAAAGTATGGAATCACCAGTCTTGGATGAGCACTCATTCAGACATGTCATTCTGTAAAACAAACTCGGATCAAAAATATGAAACAATAATGTCATTCCAAAGTGCAACCTGTTGACTTTCAGGAACACTCGAAGAAATGAAGAGAAAACATTGTGGAAGTCAGTGAATGTTACTTTTATTGACCAAGCACAGGGAAAAAAATATGGAATCACTTAATTCTGAGGAAAAAAATATGGAATCACTCAA